CCCCACGGGCAGTCCCCCCCTGCCCCCTCGGCCCTGCGGCCCCCAGCAGGACTCTGAATGCACAACACCCCCGAGTGACATTAACTGCCCCATAGCATTTCCCACGGTCCAGTAATAATGTTTACAAAATGTGCAATGGAGAAATAAAGACCTGGCTAGATTATGGCCAGTCATAGAGAGGGGCAGAAGGAAGGGGGCCAAGTTGAAAACAAACACTGCGATGAGTTGGTAATTCCTTCGAGGTGAGTGTTTCTACAAGTTAACTTTTAAACTGTTTTCACTAGCCAGTTAACTAGTTCAGGACCCTTAAAGCAGCAACAAAGTCACCTTGTTAAGCTAAGACGTATGGAGCTTCCCCAAAGGTGGGAAAGGCAGGCCGGGGCGGAAACAGGAGTGAGTCAGGGAGTCTCTACTCTCTCCCAGGGCACTGGGGAGCCACTGCAGGATCTCAGCTCTCTGGCAGGGTGTGAGCAGGTTTGAGCTCTGGGAAGACAGTTCTGCCCTTGGGATGTGAGTGCTTTGGAGGAGCCCAGGGCGAGGTGGACGGTTTTGTAGGAATCCTGGCTTCTGCCCAGTGCCAGCCAGGCTGCCTATCCCACAGGGTCACAACTTCTTGCTCCTTCAGTGTAGGGCTCTGGGAACAGCTGAATGGCCGCGCTTGGCCGAGCCTGGCACACTGAGTACGTGGTAAACGGCAGAATTATCCCATGGCCGCTTTGGGCTCTGTTCTGACTCACTGTCTGGGTGACCTCCTTGATGCCCCTGTTGGTGTGTGTGGTGCTGCCTGTTCCTCTGCTCCCAGATAATCACTTCCGGACCCCGGGGAATGCTGGTGGCGGCAGCGCTTTCCAGTGGCCTTTCTTCGCGGAGGCCCCTGCCCGGCCAGCGTTCCCTGGGATCCGAGCCGCGCTGTTCTCAGAGAAATATGTCTTTAATAGCTACCGTGACCGCTCGCTGATGGACGGGCCGTGAACTCCCTCAGTCCAAGTGCAGAGCTCAGGAGACAAAGGGATTTCAGAGCCTGCGGGCAGCGCCCAGCCTGCGTCCTCTTCCCAGGCCCTCCCTGGCCTCCGGCCCCTTTGTTTAGGGTTCAAGACCAGAGGCTGCCAAGTTTCTGACTGAAGCTTTTGCTGTGTGCTGGGGCGGTCAACATCTTAATAGCTCGACAAGCTGAAAAAGAAAAAACAAGAAAAGAAGGGGACAGAGTGGAGCACAATTAAGCGTTCACTCAGCAGCCGCAGGGCAGGGGTGAGGCCGAATTTCAGGGGCACTGGAAAGAGACTATTTTTAAGACTGCGGATAATTCTGTGCTTCTGAGGCCTGCCAGGGAGGGGGAGCTCCAGTTGGGGAAAATGTCACAGCCTTCAGAGACTTCGGATTCAGCTGGCCAATGAAGAGGGGTCCGCAGCAGAAAATGATGCGCGTGACAATCTACTGCGCCGAGGGACTCAGTCGCCCTCTCTCTGACCTGTTCGCATCCCAGGGGCGGCTGCGGCGGCTGCGCCCCCTGCTGGCGAGGCCTGTGGGGTGTGTATGGGGTGATGTGAGGCAGGACTTGCGCACAAGTCCCCACGTTGGGTTCCGGCTGTGAGCTGTCAGGCGAGGGACGCCCGACCAGTCCTTGACCTTCTGCGTCCCCTGCTGAGGATGAGGGGGAGCAGGGAGGACGAAGTGTGCAGTAGGAAGCCCGCCGCTGGGTCATAAGGCTGCAGGAATAAACCTGTGGTGCCTGCACCAGTTCAGGCTGAGAAAATAAAACGGACAGGTCGCGGGTACCTCCACCTCGCCAAGTGCCCTCCTTCTGGTGGGATCGACATCCGCACAGGGGCAGAGAAGCAACAGGTGCTATGAAGAAGCAATAAGGAAGATGAAGGGGTCAGGTAGGGTGGTCAGGAATGGTCTAGCTGGGGTGGGGACATTTGAACTTAGACCCAAAGGTGGCAGAAGAGGAAAAGTCACGGGCACGTAGGGAGAGATCATTCCAGGCAGAAGGGTTTGCAGGTGCAAAGGCCCTGGGTAGGAAGGAGTACGACACATGTGAGGACAAGCAAGAAAGCCACAGAGCTAGAGGGGAGTGAGGGAGCAGAGGATTTGAGGGTTGAAAGGTGACAGGGTGGGGAGAGCGGGCTACAAGGCCTGAGCTGTGCTAGGGCTTTGGCTGTCAGAGAGATGAGAAGCCAGGAGGGATTAGAAGATCCTGAAATGGAGAGTGATCAACGTTCACCCCCAGCACCCAAGCCAGGCCCTCTCAGCAGCTGGGGACATTAGGGAGAAACACCTGGCCATCCTGCTTCCTTGAGTGACAGGTTTGTGAACTTGTCTCAGCTACTGGTGTGAAGAGGAGAAGGTTCTGGAAGGCTCTAGAACCTTCTCATCTTTCCAGAGGGAAAAGAAAGTCACCGGTTCCTCTTTCCTGCAGGCTGAATGAAGAAGCCCAGAGCCACCACGACTGCTGGCTTAACCATCATCACAAGGAAGGCGAGTTTGGGGATGATCAGGAGACACAGTGACGACCTGCACAACCAAAGAGGCCCCTGGGGGGGGTGTCAAAGTCCTCCCTTCTCCAGATGTCCCCTTCTGTGGGCCAATAGCGGTCCTCACGCCATTTTGAGATGGATTCTCTGTCACATCCAGATCGATACAGTCACACAGCAGTGGTGTCTCTTTTCCTCATTCCCTACTTCCCAAGCTCCCAACACTGGGTTAAAAACACAGGTTCCAGTGTAGACAGAAATGGGGACAAGTCCCCGTCTGGCCACTTGAGAGCTGTGTGAGCGTGGGCAGGTGACTTACCCTTTCTGAGCATGGGTTTTCTTTCCTTTGGCCTGAGGACAATCACAGTTCCTCCCCTACAGGGTTATGGTCGTAAGACTCCGTGGCTAGGCTGGAACACTTGTCCCGCAGCCATCACTGCAGGTTGGTTAGAGCTGCTACTCCATTACGACTTCTGCACTAGGAGGTCTGGTGGGCTCTGGTCACCTTGGGAAGAAGGGGGTCCAGGATGCGCTGGCAGGGCAGCAGGTCTGCCCTTTGGTTTCTCTCCAGATCAAGTACCTGAAGCCTCTGGGTCTGCATGTAGTGGGCCTGCCCCCCAACAATGTCTCTGAGGTCCCCACTGCCCCCTGACATAGAGGACAGTGCTGGATGAAGCCACCATTGACCCAGGGACTCCAGGGCACTGGGTGGGAGGGAAATGCCTTCTGAGGGTGAGTTCATGGCTTTCTGAACGCAGCCACATTTTCCTGTAACATGTAAATATTCCGCATCCAGCTGTGGCTTTGTTCAATAGGTGTGTTTTCCCTGCCTTTTATTTTCCAGCCCCTGCTTTAGGTGCTAGGAACAGAGTGGTTAGAGACAGAAAAAAAAAATTCAAATATAGACATTTTCCTCCTCTGGGACATCCAGTTAAATGCTTCAAGATTAAACAATTGAAAGTAAACACACAACCTCTTTCTCTATGAAAGTGAAAAAGCCATAGTGGAAAACGTGGAAGGCAGAAAGAAGAAAATCATTCTAAGTTATCTCCCACAGAGATGACCACAGTGTCCACTTCACTCTCTTTTTTTTCTTTTTATCCCATGGATGCATTTTATGTACCACCGAGATGATTCTGTGTATGTAGTGTTTTTAACCATTTTATTATTGAAGAAAACATCCAGAAAACCACATATGACCACAGTGCAGCTGAATGAGTTAAATGAGGCCCTTTTAGCCACCCTGGGGTCCAGAAACAGGACTGCTCTCTACCTCTAAAGATCCTCCTGCTACCCCATCCCATCCCCTCCTGCAAGGGTAACTATTGTCCTGACTTGCATAGCTCTCCTTTCCTGGCTTCTTCATGGTTTCATTCTTCTGGTGTTTACTTCTGGCCTCTGTGGCCTGTTATTACCCATTTTAAAAGTCTGACGCCTTCTAAGTTTCTCTATACCCACAGCTTTCTCCTCTGCTGTCCCACTCTCCCTACCCCATAATTTATTACACTCTACAGAAAAGCTACCCATGAAAATTGACCCATGGAGTTTCTCATTCTGGGGTTGGCTGATGGCAAACCCTGTGTACAGTGTAACATGCTCCTTCATCCTCGGTACCTTCTGCAAGTCATCAGCCGGCCCAGAGCTCTGCTTGTGTGCAGGTTCGATCCCTCTGTCGAGACTACAGATGGTTTGCTCTTTCATCGACAGAACTGCCATGTCCCTCTCTTTCTGAACTCAGCAGCTATTGATACCCTGTACTTTGGTCCACTGGGGGCTGTAAAATGGTCATTTTCCGGTTCTACTGATACTTTTCCATTTATTAGCTGGGATATTTTTATAAAAAGATAGGTCCTCTCATCTACTGATTGCCCGGTGTTCGTGGAAGAAGTCCAGGAGAGACAGGTAAGATCTGTGCTTAGTTTTTTATCTTCATGCTTCAGTTTTCAAAAGAATGAGTTTTCTACTCATCATTTTCCAAAGATGACCAAATGTGGCCTTATAAATATCAGTGCGAACTCATAGATCTTAACATATTGATTAGACTTAATCAACTACAAGTGGAACCCTTTTTGAAGCTCAAGTAATTAACTTAAAAGTTACCGCTTCTGCCTAAACGTCCGCTGGACTGTTTTTAAGTTGATAATTTTATTTTAGAATGAGACTGGGCTGAGGTTCTTCTGGGTTGGTATTCCCAGGTACTTACCATGCACCCTCTCACAGTAATAAGTTATCAGAGCATATAATAAAAATGACTTCTTGCGTCAAACGGGTTCTGTCGGTTTTGACACTCACATAACCATTACCAGGCAAGATAGAAAAAATGTCATCACTCTTTCACTATGTGAATTCAGATGTTCGTGTGCTCAGCACAGCTTTCGGGAGCATTGTTTTTAGTATCGGTTCTGTTTCCTTGCTTTGGTGGTTGGCCTGTGTTGACTTCTGTTATATGTTCATTAGATCTTTATCCATCTTCAATGTTTGTCACGTTTTCCTGAAATCCAGTTTACCGCTTCTTTTCTTTCCTTTTCTCTTTTTATTGCGGACATTCGTGGTCACTACATCCTCAAGTTCCCCACTTTTTCTTCTGTCATCCCTAACCTGTACTTCACCCCATCTAGCACACTTCTCACACCGGATGCTATTTTCATCTCTACAAGTTTGACTTGGGTTCTTTTTACATTTTGTTTATCTCCATAAGGATTACCTTACTTTGTGTACAAAACAGTTCTGTGTTCCTCTAATCCATGAATTTCATGCTGGACGGCAATAAAAGTTGCGGGGATGCAAATACTTCCATGCCGCTGAAGTTTGTCCCCCATCTCTTCTAACTGAGCCTGGAACAGGATGGTCCAGGGTCCCTTGGCCCAGTGGTCTGAGGCAACGCCCCTCCGAGGGCACCAACAGTGTTCTCTGTGTTACAGAGCTTTGCACTCTGACTGATGGGCGCGCGAATCATCCCCTTTCCCTTATGAACTCCATGAACTGTTCTTCCCACTCCTTTTGGATTCTTTCTCTAAAGTTGAATCATTTTCCTCAGATTCATAAACAGCTCGGTATGTGTTTGAAGACTTGAGAGAGATCCTTTGTGCAGTGCTGGACTTTTCCTTCTGTGTGGTCCTCTCCTCTCTGGCACACTGCTGCCCATTCCAGCCACCCTGACCTCCCTGAAGTTTCAATCTTGTCTTCACGACTCAAGATGGTGTGGTTTAAATATGCAGCGTCTCCCCAAGATTTGTGTATGGGGAGCTTGATTTTTAATGTAGCATTGTGCAGGGGCTGGGCCGAGAGAGAAAACTGTATCCTGAAGATGCTGCTGACCTTATCCCTGGAGTAAACCATCGATGACTCCATAGCTGAATGGCCGATTGGAGGACTAGGTCACTGAGGCTGTGTCTTTGGAGGGAATACTTATTCCCAGCCCTTTCTTTTCCGGCTCTCTTCCTGTTCTCTATGCTTTCTGGCTGCTATGAGATGAGCTGCTTTCCTCCACCATGATGT